GAAAGCAATGTCCACGCTTTGGGCATCAACATTCTCGGCATTGTTAGAGCCCCCAGCTGGAAACCGTTCAAAAGTCCATGGACAGCCGAGTGCGCGAGCACACGGGTCCCACATGCTGCGGCCTGCTCAGCAGGAAAAACCATCGCTGGGACACCCAACGACATGGATGAACGATGCCACCTGGAGGAAGCCAGACAGAAAACCGCAAAGAGCCCACTGGAAACCACACTAATCCAGCGACCAAGCCATCACTGGGTGCCTGGGGACTGGTCCGGAGGGTTTATAAAGGGCACCAGGAGGCCTGGGGTGATGGGAATGTGTGCCCTCTGGATTGTGGTGATGGCTTCAGGAACATATGCAGGTGTCAAAAACTGTCAAATTGTACGCTTTAATGCTGCAGGTTAGTGCATTTTAATTGCAGGTCAATAAAGCTGCCAAAAGGGGCGGGGCTCTGGACAGCAGCGTTCCTTGTGAGTGTACGCAGAGCCCGCCCAGCGAGTCCTGGAAACACAGCGAGGGACACTCAGAACCACGTCCTCCTCGCACAGCTGGGAAAGCTGCCAGAAACAACTGTTTGCTTGCTCTTTTCACTTACTTTTAATTTAAATTTCCAAAAAGTATCTACCACCACTTGCAACAAAAATGCATAACCAAGGAGGTCAGGAGCTGAATGGTAGTTAGGCACTGTTATTGGAGTAACGTCAAACGTCAAACTTACTTCGGAGTGGGAGACAGAGTGGGGGTCTGTCCTGTGGTTAGACAGACAATGCTCTTAGGAGACACATGCCTAAGAATTTAGAGACGAAGCCTCAGCTCTTTACACCTTACTTTCAAATGATTCAGAGAAAATGGGGCAGTGTTACTAATTGGTGAATCCAGGTAAAGGAAGTGCAGGCGTTCGTTATACTATTATTCAAACTTTTCTGCAGCTGCGCTGTTTCCCAAAATCAAATGTTCGCAGAAGGAGTTAGAAACAAAATCCATGACATATGATTGACAGCAGTGGTTCCTCCTCTCTCTCTCCCACCCCCAACACATGACAATAATTCAGTCTTATTTTTTTTAGAAAAACAATGAAATAGAAATATGGCCTAAATATCAGACTAGGAACTTGGTTTTGTTCACTGCTCTCTCCAGCAGGCACAACGTAAGCACCCACAGAAATCTGATTTTACGTGTCATTAAGAGGGATTTGAGTCCTTGGAGATGAGTACAAGTCTCATTAGGTCACAGCCCCTCCATCCTGAGGCACGTGGACCTTGAGAACATCAGAAGCAGCTACTGGCACAGGCCCTCGGGAGGGGCTGACTGCAGCGAGAGTGGTGATGGTGGGAAAAGCCCAGAACGTGGAGCTAGGAGCTGGTTCCTCTGAGGCCAGCTGCAGGATAGTGAATGCCACTTGACCACTCTGAAAGTAGGTGCCCTCACCTGCACACCCGGGACCCTCACCCTGCCCGCCTCACAGTTTATCCCCAATAACAGAGGTGGGGGCAGGTGAGGGCAGGGCAATCTGACTCACTGGACACACTTACTGACAGCCGCGCATCGTCTGCAACGAACGAGGGCTCTCCTAAGTGACGGAGACCAAGAAGCAGGAGCACATTATATTAAAGGATGTGCTTGTTATCGTGTGAGAACAGAGCTTTGAAGAGATGTCGCCCTAAACCATGGCTTTAGGAAGCCTTCATTTCATTACACTGTGCATGCCGATTATAGAAAAATTCAAAACCAGGAAACAAAAATACCCCAAACCTCCCTGACCCCCTACTCAAAGATAACTGCGAAAGAGGTATTCGATTGTGCGTCCCATCAGTGCTGAGGCTGACAGCTGTCCTCTCTGCCACTCTCCCTTCCTACCACAGTGACATTCTCGCTGGCACACGGCTGAATTAAGACCACATTTAGATTAAGAAATTCTTTGATTAAGAATTAAGACCGAATTTCCCAACTTCCATTGCAATCGGAGTGCCAATGAGTGGCCGTGGGACCAACCTCCAGCAGTGGGTTATAAGCCAGAGTGGTACCTGAGCTCCCAGAAGTGTCTCTGAAGGACACAGGCTTCCCTTTCTCCTTCCCACAGGCTGGACTGCTGACACGATGGCTGGAGCTGAAGCAGCCATCTTGACACAAGGGGGTTTTAAGAATAAGATTGAAGACACAGGGGTCCCTGGTGATGGCTGAGGACCACATGGGCCCCGGACAGTGACAGAAACAGACTTCAAGCTGTTGTCATTAGGAGTTTTCTGTCTCTCACAGCTAGTGGGTTGTCGGGAAAGTCATGACATATTTTTTCTATGTTTTTCGTTGCAAAAATGCGTCATGACTTTTCCAACAACCCAATATATTTTCCACCCTTGCGCATACACAAGTGTTTCTATGGGGGGCAGGTAGGAAAAAAACGATGAAACCGTATTATACATCCATGTTGTATAAGATGCCTTCCTCCCTGGAACCAGATGCCACTGCTCTCCTAGGGGACAGTGACACGGTCCACACCGTCACTTTCACAGGGTCCGAATCCACTGCAGGGCCTCAGGTTCCTTATGTGATCAGCCCCCTGAAGGGCAGAGGCCAAGCCCAGCTTTCCACAGCCAAGAGTGATAAACCTCTGTGGTATCTAAACTCTTCCCACACACCCTCAGCATCGCTCTTAAAATAAATTCCCCTGAAGGAAATATTCTGAGTACTATTAAGTCATAATCATGTAAAAGTAATTAAATTATTCTATCATGAAGGTGATTCTCTTCCTTTATTTTTTTGACTTTCTACTTGAGTACCAATAGAAAGTGAATTGCCATGCAATTTTTAGTTACGGTTCTTAATTTGTGTAGACACAGGCTCTCGAGGCCACTGAGAAGCCACTGACCGGCTTCATCGGGTCAAGAACATGATTTGACCCCGAGGGTTATTCCTAAACTTCTTCAGGAAAAATGCTTTTTATTGGCATTTAATTGCTCTCCGTATTGTCAAGTCTAATATACCAGTTAGTTTAATTTTATTAGAGGAAAGATTAGACACATGGAAATGTCCAGAAGATTAGCCAGAACACAGGTACCCAATAAACCAACAAATACGTTAATGCCTGACTAGTACCTGATTTTGAAAATGCGTTTAGGGTGAAAAAGGTGAAGGGATTAAGAAGTACAAATTGGCAGTTAAGAAAATAGTCACGGGACGCAAAGTACGGCTTAGGGAAGATAGTCAACAATATGGTTCTAACTGGTGTCACATGGGTACTAGACTTATCGGGGTGATCACTTTATAAGGTATATAAATGTCTAATCACTATGCTGTACACCTGAAACTAACATAAATATTGTATATCAGCTGTAATTGAAACATTTTAAAAATTAGTTTAAAAATAATAAAATGAATAAAAGAAAGTGCTTCTAGTTATCAAGTTACTATGAAGCTTTAAACAAGGAACCAGCTATGAAAGACCCCTGGAGCCGTGAGGTTGCACATAGGTATTAGGGCAGGGGTCTGCTTGAAAGTGACTTCAGTTCTCCATAATCCATGGCTAAGATAGTTTATCTGAATTAGCCCTGATAAACAGTAAATAAGAAGGGTACGACCTGAGGTCGCCATCTGTAAAACATATTGGAACGCTATTGATTTGAAGCAAATTATTTTCCCACACCTCCAATTCAATGCTCTGCATTCAAACAAGAATAAATAATAAGAATGTTTGTAACTAGAGACTTTAAAAGTAATTCTCATTTTTAAAAAAGGCCAGGGTTATATTCAATCCTGATAATTTAAAAGATTTCTTTTGCCAATTTTGTAGGATCAACTGAGACAGATGCGTGACAGTTTCACCAGGCACTGTTAGGACAAATAACTCTTAATAAGACATCTTGTTCACCTGGGCAAGGAAGACGGGTGTGTACGTTAAAGATGAAAGGTTATTGAATCAACAAGGCTCAACATACAAATTTGGATTTCGAATTTGGAAAACAACCAAGAATTACAGCGAAAGACTTGCCGTTAACAGAAAATCTATCCAAAACAAAGCGATCCCATGTGGTGTCCAGTTGCCCCCACACCTCCCATCTGTGCGCTTCATCTAGAATTACCTGCCGGGTAAGGACTGCTGGGATTTCCCCAGGCTTCCTGCATGGCCTCGGTCATGGCCTGGATAACCTCTGGCTCCAGGGGGGTGGTTGCATTATAGTCCATATAAACTTTCCTGAAGGAAAGAAAAGAAAGACATCCTCCTATGGAAAAGCAGATGGAGTATGGAAACACAGATGAGCTCATCTGTCAATCACACCAGTAGGAGCAAACAAGGTCAAGGTCACGGTGCACCTCTGCACAAACTTCTATCCACCCCTTGGCAGCACTGGTAGTCCCCTGGGCCTGGGCTGCCCACCCACCTGCTACAAAGATCAGATCCGTGCCCCCCACCCCCATCCCCACGAGTCACAAGTTCCTAAGGGCTGTTCCCCAGCTTGATTTTTTAACTTCACCAGTTTTCCTTTATTTCCCATGGTTTCTGTGAAGGCTGTGAGGCTGGGCATGATGGGGGGGGGCCCATTTTACCCACTCGCCCTCCCTCTTCACTTCCCTACACCCACAGTCTCCCTGGGGCAGAGGTGCTGCTCCTCCCCTCCAGCTTTCTTCCATTGGTTGAGAGTTGGCTTAAGGGCCGGCCGAGTGGTGTGTTGGTTAAGAGCTGGCTTGGGACGCCAGAGGGCCCCGGTTCGGATCCCACATATGAGGGCCAGTGACACTGCCCTCTACAGCTAAGATGATGANTGAAGAACAAAACGACAGCAACTTGTCTGTTCCCCTTCCCCCAACTCCCCAGCACTGTTCCCATCCCCCCAATTCCCCAATAAAAAAAATCTTAAAAAAATAAAATAAATAAAATAAAATAAATAAGTAATAAATAAATAAATAAATAAATAAATAAATACTAAAAGACAATAAAAGGACCCACCTTCTCTTTTTTACTGAACCTACAGCTAAGAGAATGTAAGACTGTTTGGAAACGTTACCTCCGTGCCCCCGGAAGTGAAGATTATGTCTTCAGGTTTCCCACCTATCATCTTCGCAAGGCTTTCCCGAGCTGCACTGATAATATCCTTGGCCTTCCTACCTTGAGGGACCAAAATGGAAATTCATGAACATCGCTTCCCCAAGCCCAACCAACATGTTTAAAAGAACAACCAGACATGAAGGAGCGAGAGAGCTGAGCAGGCAATTCTAAATGGAAACATGTCAGTGTAACCACAGCAACAGGCTACAATCTAGAAATGACTTGGGACAGGGACAGCAGCGAGGTGTTAGCAAATCAGTCAAAACTACTGAGATTTAAGGAACTTAGTGAGAGCCAGAAACAAATATGGGAGGATGCCTGGGAACCCTAAAATTCCCTATGACATGCTTTTCTTCTTACCGGGTGCTAGAGAGGGGAAGCTGTGGCCATCTGCCTCGCTCCCCATTCATCAAGACAGGAAAGTGAAAGGATGGAATAATTTGCTTAAGATCACACTGCAAAATAAGCAAAAATAGAACTCATGACCCCTCAACACAAAGTCCAACACCATCTCACACAGCAGGTGCCCAGGTGGCTAGGGAAGCTACTGCCTCAGGGACACCTGTGCTTTCAAACAGGGGCCTTGCAACCCAGCCATTACCAGTTTCACTGGCTGGTCGAAAAACGGGGACCAAATCTCATTAGGCAGGGAACAAAAGGCTCTGGGATGGGAATTTGGAAAATTTCGATGACCATTCTTACTTAAATAGTCCACAGGCCAGGAGCCTCCAAACTGTTTTGACTACTCAGTCCTATTTGCAAATAACAAAAAAAAAAAACAAGAAAAAACACCAACCAACCAATGGACAAAACAAACAAAAAACTTGAGCAAGCACCACCAAAACGTATACATGTTACAAAACATACATAAAAGGTAAAATATACAAAGTAGTTCACACATGGCCTGGCCGAGTGGCGCGTTGGTTAAGAGCTGGCTTGGGATGCCAGAGGGCCCCGGTTCAGATCCCACATATGAGGGCCAGTGACACTGCCCTCTAC